GCCAGGCACGGTGGCTCATGCCTGTAATCCCAGCACTGTGGGAGGCCAAGGCGGGAGGATCACCTGAGGCCAGGAGTTCAAGACCAGCCTGGCCAACAGGGCAAACCTACGTCTCTACTACCAAAAAAAAAAATCAGCCAGGTGTGTTGGTGGGAGCCTGTAATCCCAGTTACTTGGAAGGCTGAGGCAGGAGAATTGCTTGAACCTGGGAGATGGAGGTTGTAGTGAGCTGAGATACCACTGCACTCCAGCCTGAGTGACAAAGTAAGACTCCATTTCATAAATTACAGTACAATACAATACAGTACAGTACAGCACAGCACAATAAGGTACAGCACAGTATAATAAAACATAGTACAGTACAATAGAGTGTAATATAGTACAGTACAATATATAATACAGTACAGCACCATACAATATAGTACAGTACAGCAGAATACAGCACAGCACAATACAGCACAGCACAATACGGCACAGTATAATACAGCACAGCACAATACAGTACAGTATAATACAGCACAGCACAATACACTACAGTATAATACAGCACAGCACAATACAGCACAGTATAATACAGCACAGCACAATACAGCACAGTATAATACAGCACAGCACAATACAGCACAGCACAATACGGCACAGTATAATACAGCACAGCACAATACAGTACAGTATAATACAGCACAGCACAATACACTACAGTATAATACAGCACAGCACAATACAGCACAGTATAATACAGCACAGCACAATACAGCACAGTATAATACAGCACAGCACAATACACTACAGTATAATACAGCACAGCACAATACAGCACACTATAATACAGCACAGTATAATACAGCACAGCACAATACAGTACAGTATAATACAGCACAGCACAATACACTACAGTATAATACAGCACAGCACAATACAGCACAGTATAATACAGCACAGCACAATACAGCACAGTATAATACAGCACAGCACAATACACTACAGTATAATACAGCACAGCACAATACAGCACACTATAATACAGCACAGTATAATACAGCACAGCACAATACAGTACAGTATAAAACAGCACAGCACAATACAGCACAGTATAATACAGTACAGTAGAGGAGATTGATCCAAGATGGCCGACCACTAACAGCTCAGGACTGTAGCTCCCAGTGAAAGCCCAGAGAACGAGACGACGCCACACTTTTAGAAAAATTTTCGTCACTCACCGATCAGCAGATTCCCAGTGGAGGAGCCCCACGGGTCACCAGCGCGACTCTTGTGGCCGCCGCAGCGGTTTTGCCGTCTAGGCGCAGCAGCTCTTCATGCAGAGCCAACGGGACAGCTTCCCCTACTGACCGGAGTTTGGAGCTCCGGGAAGTCAGAGCCGCTTGTTGCGGACTCAAGAGGGAAGCCAGACCAGAGATTCCCGGGCAGAAGAGCACCATCAGTCTTATTGCTGCTATTTAGGCCGCCACAGTGGGTTGCTCGGATCCCAGCACTGGGAATCAATAAGTCGGACATTGACTCAGAAAATTAATTAGAAAGGAGGTTCATCTACAATGAAGGGAAAAAAACAGCCTAAGAAGGCTGAGTATACTCAAAATCAGAACCCATCAGCAACAGAACAAGCCCTGATGGAAAAGGACTCATCAGCAACCGAACAAGCCCTGATGGAAAAGGACTCATCAGTAACGGAACAAGCCCTGATGGAAAAGGACTGTGTTCCATTATCTGAAGTAGGCTTTAAAAGGTGGATGATAAGAAACTTCTGGGAGTTAAAGGAACTTGTTCTAACCCAATGTAAAGAAACTAAGAACTTGGAAAAAAGGTTCGATGAAATGTTGAAAAGAATAGACAATATAGAGAGGAATACAAATGAACTTATGGAGTTGAAAAATACAACACGAGAACTTAGTGAAATTTGTACAAGCTTAAACAGCCGAATGGATCAAGCAGAAGAAAGGGTATCAGAGGTCGAAGATCAACTTAATGAAACAAAACAACAAGACAAGAATAGAGAAAAAAGGATAAAAAGGAATGAGCAAAGTCTCCAAGAAATATGGGACTATGTGAAAAGACCTAATATACGCTTGATTGGTGTACCTGAATGTGACGGAAAGAATGAATTCAAGCTGGAAAATACTCTCCAGGACATTATCCAGGAAAATTTTCCTAATTTAGCAAAGCAGGACACTATTCAACCCCAGGCAATACACAGAACACCACAAAGATATTCCTCAAGTAGACCAACCCCAAGGCACATAATCGTTAGATTCACCAAGATCGAAACGAAGGAGAAAATATTAAGGGCAGCCAGAGAGAAAGATCAAGTTACCCATAAAGGTAAGCCTGTTAGGCTTACAGCAGATCTCTCAACGGAAACCCTACAAGCTAGAAGAGAGTGGGGGCCAATATTCAATATACTTAATCAACAGAACTTTCATCCCAGAATATCATATCCTGCCAATTTAAGCTTTACATTTGAAGGAAAAATAAAATCTTTCAGGAACAAGCAAGTACTCAGAGATTTTATTACCACCAAGCCTGCTTTACAAGAACTTCTAAAAGAAGCATTATACGCAGAAAGGAACAACCAGTATGACCCTTTCTAAAAATACACCAAAAAGTAAAGAGCATCAACATAAAGAAGAATTTTTATAAACGAAAGGACAAAATAGCCAGTTAATATCAAATGGCAGCAACCCTAAATTTAAATTGACCAAATCTCCCAATTAAAAGATACAGACAAAATCTAACGGTATATCCAAAGATATACATAGACTCAAAATAAAGGGTTGGAAAAAAAAATGTACCAACCAAATGGAGAGCAAAAATAAATAAATAAAAAGCAGGAGTTGCAATTTTCACATTTGACAAAATAGATTTCAAAGCTACAAGGATACAAGGGTAAAAGGATTAATGTAATAATAAGAGATCTTAACACCCAGATACATAAGACCCATAGTGAGATTTAGATTCAACGAGACAGAAAATTGATAACGATATCCGGGACTGGAACTAAGATCCAGAACAAATAAACTCAATAGAGCTCTCCATTTTAAACACACAAAATATATATTATCCACAAAATCTAATGATATATCTAAAGATATACAAAGACTCAAAACAAGGGGATGGAAAAAAAACTCACCAACCAAATGAAGAGCAAAAATAAATAAATAAAAAGCAGGAGTTGCAATTCTCACACTTAATAAAATAGATTTCAAAGCTACAAGGATGCAAGGGTAAAAGGATTAATGCAACAATAAGAGATCTTAACACCCAGATACATAAGACACATAATGAGATTTAGATTCAACGAGACAACATATTGATAACGATATCCAGGACTTGAACTCAGAGCCAGAACAAATGAACACAATAGAGGTCTCCATTTTAAATACATAAAATATGCATTAACCACTTTAAACACTCAAAATATTGATCGGCCATTATTGAAACCCATTTTAGGAATGAAGTAATATTCCTTTTTCCCTCTTTTTCTTTTTTTTCCCTTCTTTAAAAAAATAAAAAAATAAAAAAAAAGAAAGTCAACACATAGATGGGGCCACAGCAAGCCAGAGCTACCCCTCTGGTGATCGGTGGTACAAGGCTAGCCCCTTCCCCCACACTTCTGCAAGGCGGCGTAGTCCACTGCCTTTCATATCCTCTGGTTTTACCCTGGGGATTACTTCTTCTCTGTCTTATAAATAGCCAAACATTTGCCCTGGTTAACTGGTAATCCGTGGGGCTGACTCTGTGATGTCAGCATTACACCCACTGAAGTTTAAGCTGACACAAACATGGCTGACCAAAGATAAAAAAAAAAAAAATACAGTACAGTATAATACAGCACAGCACAATACAGCACAGTAAAATACAGCACAGCACAATACAGCAAAGTATAATACAGCACAGCACAATACAGCACAGCACAATACAGCAAAGTATAATACAGCACAGCACAATACAGCACAGCACAATACAGCACAGTATAATACAGCACAGCACAATACAGCACAGCACAATACAGCACAGCATAATACAGCACAGCACAATACAGCACAGTATAATACAGCACAGCACAATACAGCACAGCACAATACAGCACAGCATAATACAGCACAGCACAATACAGCACAGTATAATACAGCACAGCACAATACAGCACAGTATAATACAGCACAGCACAATACAGCGCAGTATAATACAGCACAGCACAATACAGCACAGTATAATACAGCACAGCACAATACAGCACAGTATAATACAGCACAGCACAATACAGCACAGCACAATACAGCACAGTATAATACAGCACAGCACAGTGCAATACAATGGAGTATAATACAGCACAGTACAACACAGTACAAATGCAATACAGCACAGTACAGTACAATACAATAAAACACAGTACAGTACAATACAGTATAGTACAGCACAGTATACGACGGTACAGCACCATACATATAGTACAGCACAGCACAATACAGCACAGCACAGTGCAATACAATGGAGTATAGCACAGCAGAGTACAATACAGTACCATACAACACAGTGCAGTGCCATATAGTATAGTACAGTACAGTACATTATAGCACAGTACAGTACAATACAACACAGTTGAAAAAGTGCCATTGACTGAGTAGCTTGTAAACAATAGAAATTTCTGTCTCCCAGCTCTGGAGCTGAGAAGTCCAAGGGCAAGGCACCCGCACTTTCAGGGGCTGATGAGGGCCTGCCTCCTGCCTCCTTACTGTAGCCTCACATTGTGGAAGGGGCCAGGAACTCTCTGGGGTCTCTTATAAGGAGTCTTATCCCAATCGTGAAGGCTCTGCCCTTACGACCTAGTCACCTTTCGAAGGCCCCTTCCTACCATGACCTTGGGGGTTAGGATTTTAACACATGAATTTTGGGGGGACACAGACATTCAGACCAAAGCAAGAGCCAAACCAAGACTCGTCCTTTGCTGATTCATTGTGATTCTTCCCCTTTCTGCCCTTCAGGGAGGAACGAGGAATATGTCTTTCCTTTCACCTACCAGGGATCTGTTTACTTCACTTGCACCAAAAGGCTTCGCTTGTCCCCTTGGTGTGCCACCAGAGCAGTGTACAGTGGCCAATGGAAGTACTGCTGGAGTGAAGGTGAGCAGTATCCTGCTGTCCCTGGCCAGGGGGCTTTGAATAGGGTGGATTATGAAAGAGAATGTGTGTGCCTGTGTATGACATGATCACTTTTTGCAGATGAATTATAATACATATGTGTGCATAGAAAAAGCTCTGGGAGGCCAGGCGTGGTGACTTAGGCCTGTAATCCCAGCACTTTGGGAGGTTGAGGCAGGTGGATCATCAGGTTAAGAGATCAACACCATCCTGGCCAACATGGTGACACCCATCTCTACTAAAAATTTAAAAAATTAGCCGGGTGTGGTGGTGGGCACCTGTAATCCCAGCTACTCGGGAGGCTGAGGCAGGAGAATTGCTTGAACCTGGGAGGTGGAGATTGTAGTGAGCCCAGTTTACACCATTGCACTCCAGCCTGGGTGACAGAGCGAGACTATGTCTCAAAAACAAACAAACAAAACCTCATGTATGAGCTGACCCGAGTTCGAACTCGTGTTGTTCAAGAATCAGATGTATATGGCATAGGCAAATGCTTGATGAAATAATGCATAAAGTCTCTTCTGAACCTTCTGTCTGTCCTGTCCTGTGATGGCTGATTGATTAGCTGACTGATGATTAAATGACTCTGTACTGTGAATGACGAGAGGAAGTCGAGCCACCCACGAACTCCATTCCTAACAGATTGCCCACGCTGTATCTTCCCTTTCATCTATTGAGGAAAGGTCTATAACAGCTGCATCTCCCAGGGGAGCTTCTTAGGCAGTCTGTGGTGCTCAGTCACCTCCATCTTCGATGAGCAACAGCAGTGGAAATTCTGTGAAACCAGTGGTGAGCTCCTGTAGCAGGGAGGGGGTGCGTAGTAGGAGGGAGAGTGGACAGCAGGAATCCTCCTGAGGGGAGGCTGGGCAGGGTAGCAACCAGAGCACCCGGGGGAAATACTCACAGGAGCCAACTGTCTGCTCAGAGTTCACTGTGACAACTACTGACAGGGCTGTCCTGAGGCCATTCTCCCAGTCCCAATCCAGCATGAAAAGACAGGCGTCCTGAGAACTGAAACAATGAGCTGCCATCCTGATATTGGCTTCTGAGTATTTCTGTTTCTAGAACTGACAATAGCCAGATGCACCCACTGACAAACCCAACCTGCCTCACTTTCCTTTCTCCCTCCCTCTCTCCCTCCCTCCCTTCCTCCCTCCCTCCCTTCCTTCCTTCCTTCTCTCTGTCTTTCTTTCTTTCCTTCTTTCTTCTCTTTTTTTTTTTTTTTTGACAGAGTCTCACTCTGTTGCCCAGGCTGGAGTGCAGTGATGTGATCTCGGCTCACTGCAACTTCTGCCTCCAGGGTTCAAGTGCTTCTCCTGTTTCAGCCTCCTGAGTAGCTGGGACTACAGGTGCCTGCCACCACACCTGGCTAATTTTTTGTATTTTTAGTAGAGATGGGGTTTCACTGTGTTAGCCAGGATGGTCTTGATTTCCTGATCTCGTGATCCTCTCACCTTGGTCTCCCAAAGTCCTGGGATTACAGGTGTGAGAGCCACCATGCCCGGCCTTTCTCTCTTTCTCTCCTTCCCTCCCTCCCTCCCTCCCTCCCTCCCTCCCTCCCTCCCTCCCTCCCTCCCTTCCTTCCTCTCTCTTTCATTCTTTTTTCCCCCTCCCCTCCCCCTCCCTTCCCCTCCCCTCCCCTCCCCTCCCTTCCCCTCCCCTCCCCTCCCCTTCCCATTTTACTTTATTTTATTTTTGAGACAGGGTCTCGCTGTATCACTCAGGCTGGAGTGTAGTGGCGCCATCTCGGCTCACTGCAACCTCCGCCTCCTGGGTTCAAGCAGTTCTCTACCTCAGCCTCCCGAGTAGCTGGGATTACAGGCATGTTCCACCATGCCCAGCTAACTTTTGTGTTTTTTAGTAGAGAATTGCTGGGCCAGGCTGATCTTGAACTCCTGACCTTGTGATCCACCAGCCTCGGCCTCCCAAAGTGCTGGGATTACAGGCGTGAGCCTCTGTGTCTGGCCGGCATGCTTACTCTTGCATAAAAATCTTAATTCTGTTCTTCCCTCAGCACTCAACTAATCCTAATTTCATCTAAACCTTAATTTTATTCCATTCTTAATCACCCGCCATGTGTCTTCTTTACTATAAACCAAACTTAACCTTAAATATCACTAACTCTGTCCTAATACTTAATCTAATTTTTTATCCCAAATCCAACTCTTTCTCCATTTCCATTCCTGACTCTAAATTCCGTCATTAATACGTACATTCCGTCATTAATAAATATATTACTTTTATACTCTGTCATTAATACATCATTAATTCATAACCTTAGCCATTTCTTAACCCTAAACCAAATAGATGAATTAGGAAAGGTATCAGTTAGAGGAGGCTCAGGGGCTCAAGCCTGTAATCCCAAAAGGGATTGGGAGACTGAGGCAGAAGGACTGCTTGAGTCCAGGAATTTGAGACCAGCCTAGGCAGCATTGGGAGACCCTGTCTCTAAAAAAAATTTAAAAACTGGCCAGCGTGGTGGCTCATGCCTGTAATCCCAGCACTTCGGGAGGCTGAGGTGGGCGGATCACAAGGTCAGGAGATCAAGACTATCCTGGCCAACATGGTGAAACCCCATCTCTACTAAAATACAAAAACTTAGCAGGGTGTGGTGGCACATGCCTTAGTCCCAGCTACTTGGGACGGTGAAGTTGGGGAATCACTTGAACCCAGGAGGCAGAGGTTGCAGTGAGCCGAGGTCACACCACTGCACTCCGGTCTGGTGACAGAGTGAGACTTCTTCTCAAAAAATTAACTGGTCATGGTGGCGTGCACCTGTAGTCCCAGCTACTTGGGCGGCTGAGGTGGGAGGATTCCTTGAGCCCAGGAGTTCGAGGCTGCAGTGAGCTGTGATTGTACCATGGAATCCCAGCCTGGTCAACAGAGTGAGATTCTGTCTCAAAGAAAAGGAGAAAAAGAAACATCAGTTTTATGTTAATGTAACCTTAATATCTAAGCTCCTGTTTGTCCTTAAAATGCTCCAATATCCTTAGACCCAGTTTTGATGGAGTAACAGATTAGAATTCACATGACTCACCAAACAGATGTCCTAGGAGAGGTACCTCTTAGCTTCAGCTGCCCCACTGCCTTAAGAAAGTTGTTGATTATTTCCTGTTTATGGGTGAGTGAGAACCCAAGCACCTGCCTGTGCAGCTTACCGTCTCCGTTACTGCTTCACAGTCATCATCAACTTGACTCCACTCACCTAGGAAATTCTCTCCTGGGAAGTCGCTTTTATTATCTGGAAAATAAAGATGCTAAGGCTGGTGTCACAGGGTTTTTCTAACGATTGGAGTTCATTTTCATGCAGGATCAATGGTGGTGCCATGCCAGGTAGCTACAAAACGTGAGTTTTCTTTTGCTGTCATCTGAAATGCTAGGCCAAAAAAATGGGCATTGAGGTTAGACCTGAGTTGAAATTCTGTTGTCCGCCTTACCAGCTACGTGATCTTGGGCATGTTAGATAATAAAAATAATAATTATAGGCTGGGCACGGTGGCTCACGCCTGTAATCCCAGCACTTTGGGAGGCTGAGGCAGGTGGATCAGGAGGTCGGAAGTTCAAGACCAGCCTGGCCAAGGTGGTGAAACGGAACCCTGTCTCTACTAAAAGTACAAACATTAGCCAGGTATGGCGGCAGGTGCCTGTAATCTCAGCTACTCAGGAGGCTGAGGCAGAAAATTGCTTGAACCCAGGAGGCGGAGTTTGCAGTGAGCTGAGATTGCACCACTGCACTCCAGCTTGGCGACAGAGCAAGACTCCATATCAATAATAATAATCACCACATAATGAACTTTTAGCAAGCGTTTTCTACATGCTAGGCAGTGTTTAAAATGCTTCACATGAAATAACTCATCTATTCCATAAACAGTCTCTATCAGGTAAATCTGACTGGTAGCCCTGCTTTATACATGGAGAAACTGAGGTTAATAGAAGCAAAGGTGTGATTTGATCCCAAGAAGTCTCTCCTTCAGAATTTGTGCTCTTAATCACTAGTCATTACTGCCTGTAAACCCCAACCCCTCAGTCAAATTCTAGTTCCCCCTAAAAGACCACCCCCTCAAAAAAGCCTGCTAATTAGGCAAGACAGTTTATTGCTCACCCCAGTAAAAGATAGTACTACTTTGATGGGGTCTTAATGACGTCTTGGGCTGGGTGTGGTAGCTCACGCCTGTAATCCTAGCACTGTGGGAGGCTGACACGGGTGGATCACCTGAGGTCAGGAGTTTGTGACCAGCCTGGCCAACATGGCAAAAACCCCTCCTCTAATGAAACTATAAATATTAGTGGGTCATGGTGGCCCATGTTTGTAATCCCAGCTACTTGGGAGGCCGAGACAGGAGAATCGCTTGAACCCAGGAGGCAGAGGTTGCACTGAGCTGAGATCTTTCCACTGCACTCCAGCCTGGGTGACAGGGACTTCATCTAAAAAAATAAAAAATAAAAAAATGACATCTTGAAGTGGGGAGGTAAAACTCAGGATATTGATGGGGTCTTGGGGTCTTGGGGTCTTGTCCAGGGTGGGTTTTTCTGTGGGGGATGTAATTTGGATTGTAAGGTGGCTCATGCCTGTAATCCCAGCACTTTGGGAGGCCGAGGCGGGTGGATCACAAGGTCAAGAGATCGAGACCATCCTGGTCAATGAGGTGAAACCCCGTCTCTACTAAAAATACAAAAATTAGCTGGACATGGTGGTGCACGCATGTAGTCCCAGCTACTCGGGAGGCTGAGGCAGGAGAATTGCCTGAACCCAGGAGGTGGAGGTTGCGGTGAGCCGAGATCGCGCCATTGCACTCCAGTCTGGGTAACAACAGCGAAACTCTGTCTCAAAAAAAAAAAAAAAAGAATCCAAAGCACAATTTGGATTTGGATCGTGGTATCTGGATAGAGAGCTGATATCATGGTGAGGGTTGGTGGTTACAGCAGGGTGCAATGACCGAAGACAGGGTTTCAGAGAGTCTGGAGGAGTAAACAGTGTTTTGACACAATCTACTGAAAAAGTTGAACAGTGTGATCATTATGCAAATAGCTTTTCTGGAGGCTTCTGGAATGAATAATAAGGCTATTTGCAACTCTGCTCTTCCTGGACAAGCATTTCCTAGCTTAGTAGAGTCAAGGTGATGACGACCGCAGAACCGTGAAGTCATGTTAACGGAGTGGGCAAGGTGTGCGAGACTTGGTAGCTTTGGTTCGCACTTATCCGTATCATCGAAATAATGACGTCACCCAGAAGCCGCTTGGGGAATTCAATGCTACGTCACCTTTCGTGGTGTAAGGCGTGGCGCATAGTTTGTGTGTCATAAATGGAAGCTCTTTTCATCTCCTCTTCTTGACCTGTAACGTTTCCATGATCATTTTCAGAGTATGGGGGAAATTCTCTCGGCAAGCCCTGCGTCTACAGAAATAACCTGGTCTCTGATTGCATGGAGGATGAAAGCAACAAGCTCTGGTGCCCGACCACGGAGAACACAGATAAGGATGGAAAGTGGAGTTTCTGCGCTGACACCAGTAATCTGGGGATGGGCGGTTGGGTGGGTGGGGGAGGATTCTTTCATTCATTTGCTCAGCACCCACCTGCTGAAGCCCTGCTGTGAGCCAGGCACTGAGTTGGGCGCTGAGGATCTGGTGATGAATCAGGCAGACAGTTTTGGCCTCATGAATAAAGTCAATGATGTGATGTGCCACAGGCTTGAAAATCCAAGAGGAAGGTGCCAAGATGAAATATTCAAAATGTTAAACACCCAACCATGATTCAAATACGGAGTAAACACATGCCAGGGCTTTGAATAAACGCTAGTGTGAGCCAGGCATGGTGGCTCACAGGTACTCGTGAGGCTGAGGCAGGAGAATCACTTGAACCGGGAGGCAAAGGTTGCATTGATCCGAGATTCCAGAACTTTGGGAGGCTGAGGCAACAGGATTACTTGAGACCAGGAGTTCAAGACCAGCCTGGGCACATAGTGAGAACCTGTCTCAAAAAAAAAAAAAAAAAAAAAAAGAGAGAGAGAGAAAGTAAGAAAGAAAAAGAGAGAGAGAGAGACAGAGAGAAAGAAATAAAGAGGAAAGAAAGAAAGAATGAAATAAAGGAATATATTAGTTGATAAAAGAAATATATTGGTGGTAGCCCGTGCCTGTAGTCTCAGCTACTTGGGAAGCTGAGGCAGGAGGATCACTTGAGCCTGGGAGGTTGAGGCTGCAGTGAGCTATGATCACACCACTGCCCTCCAGCCTGGGTGACAGAGTGAGACCTTGCCCCTAAAATAAATTAATAAGCAAACCAACAGTGAAATCACCCAACAAGAGGCACAAACATTTGGAAACATGGTACTAGACTGCCAAACGAGGGGACGCTCTTTCAGCTCCTTTCATCTCACAGAACAAGAGCTAAAAAGAGCTGAAAGAGCATCCCCTTGTTTCCCCTCAGCTGAGAACACATGTGTTGGGAAACTCAGGTCAAACATCCTCACTCTGCGTGTGTGTCTGCAAATGGCCACAGAAGCGTCATGAGTATTGATTTTGTGAGTGACAAAGTTTATCGAGTAGGTGCATTTGCACCTGTGGAATCCACGAAAGATGAGGACAGTGAAATCGGTTCTCTGAGACAACTCCTCTGCCTGCCAGGTCCTCCTGGTGACCAACGTTCTCCTTGTTGGAGACAGATGCTCAATGCTGCAAAGAAAAATCAGCACTGGGACAAAGGATCTTTCAGCATCGCAAGTTTTACTTCCTGGACTGCAGGAAGGGTATTCTCACTTGCCACCTTGTTCATGAGAGTACGATGAACAAAGAAAAAGCAGACGTATTCATCCCTTACACATTTCGGGTCGTCCTTACTGCTGTGTCTGATTTCCGTTGGTTGGAGCCAGACCTTACAATTTAAACTAAAACCCGAATGGCTAACAACTTAAAACTTTTTCAAACAGGTAAGGGGCATGGGCTGCGAGCTGGGACATGCCTGCGAGCACACCCAGCACAGATATCTTGGTTCAAGTACAAGGACATAGAATGTACTACGTGCCTGTAAGCACGGCATGTCTAACAGCTACATGGGATAGGGCATAACAAAGAGTTATTAGCACACTTATGATTTATTCTTTAACAAGAAAGGAAACTTTAAAGAGGAACATCCTTCTCCCTCCCGACCCCGGGGCCCTATATTGACTCTGCCCTTCTTCCCTGTTCCAGTGCTCTGCCCCATCTCCCAGCCTTTCTCAAGTCCTACACTCTGATAACTCTGAGGGAAGAAAATCCAGCCATGCAAAATTCTTCTTTTGTTTAGGTTTAAGCATTCAGAGCATTGCCCAGCCAGCACTGTCATGTGCAGTGTTTACCCAGATTTTATTT